GGCATTTGATACAAAACTCATTTTCGATAAACTTAAGCAAATTACAAACCTACGAACTGCATTTGCGTGCAGCTTTTGTATTTTTTTTAAAAAGAACGATAAACTATTCAACTTTATATGCTTAGAATTTAGCGATAAATTTATTTATAACGACGAACATGACGAAATATCCATCTGAAAAGAGATGGGATAATATAATACATACCTCTTTACAATATTTATTTATTTATTTATTTCCTGTCACACACTTGTATAATAGACATTCATCCATCCGCTTCGCTTTTGATGATGATTATTTTAATGATCATCTTTTGAAATGTAACGATTTATTTTGAAATATATATATCTTGTTACTGAAATAAAAGATTTATATTAATTTCTATGTATTTGTATTTTTGTACAGAATGTTTTCAATAATTCGGTTCACCATATCGATGCCAATCCTTTGAAGATGTCTATTATAGTGTATTTATTGCATCAATATTCGTAACATTAGTATCTTTGGTTTTTACCCCACGGAGTAAGTTAAACCGAACATAAACAAAACCAGTTACAACAAATGGTACCTACTATCCCACATATAATTGACTGTCTTACACAACAAATATGTAAGATGCTTCAAAACTGTATTCGTCCCGAGCGAATATAAATTTGATAAGTATTTTAAATATGTGCGATGCCAAGTACCATTCGTATTGGGTAAACATATTCATTTGTGGTAAACATATTCATTTGTGGGGTAAGTCACGTGACTGAATGATTTTATATAAACCAATGTTCACTGTTTTGATGTAGGGTAAGTCACGTGACTTTGAACACGTATCTTTTATTAAGAAAGGATCGCTTGTAGCCTCATGCATGTTGCAATGATCTAATAACTTCTCAATTTCCTTTCTGAATTGTGAATATGAATCGTGTTCAAATTCTTTTTCCTCGCTTGTTTCATCTATTTTGAAATAATTTCTACGTCACTGGTCACGTGATTTACCGAATGGTTTTATGCTACATGCAGCATGTGTCATTTATGTGGGGTAAGTCACGTGACTTACCCCACATGATTTTATGCGAATGTCATTAATTATGTGGGGTAAGTCACAACATATGTCCGTGCTATTTTGTACTCTATGATTGTTTGGTAAATGAACATTGTTTGGTTCTAAAGTGTATTTGTATTTGATGCGTGATCTAAATATATGTGTCAACCGTCTTTGTTCGTGTGCGTACATGGACTTAAATATGTGATATTTTACCAAACACTGAATAACATAAACCGCATAAACAAGTGCATTTACCGCATATATAGGTACATAAATCAAATATAAATGTTTCAAAAAAACAAATTTATTACGTGTTTCGAATTATTTTAATAGAGTGGAATATCGAATGGTTGTAATCAAATACAAAAGTGTGAAAATCGAATAAAGATGCAGAAAAAATAAATACATGTTCGAGTAATGCAGGCAGTGCACTACAATTTTATCCATAAATACACCTGTGAGTGCTTAAAGTGGTTGCTTCTTGACAAAAATCAAAATATACTCCTCAAAAAAAGTTAAGGACCAGTCTTTTTCCTCATAGGTTTACATGTTAAACCCCATGTCTGTTTGAACTCTTATTTTCAAAGCCTGAAACGAAAGAAAAACTGATAATGTAAATGGATATGTACCTTGACTCTATTCTCTATATTTCAGAAAATTTTCAATTCAATCTCTCCGTTTCAATATGTCAAAAATTGATGTCAAATTTGAAGAATTTAATAAAAATGGCAGAACCAATGTAAACCAATGGGAAGTGGTTGGGTTGCCAAAAGTCATATGAGAAAATATCCATCCATTCAATTGCTCTCAAAAATGGAATTTAAATAGACAATTGAATTTGCTGATTTGTCTACAACAAAAAATTGATTTGTTTCTCCAGGTTCTACAAAATTATGAATCTCAAAAGTCAAAATCATTTCTCAATAAACCTCCCATTGAAATAACACAAGGGTCAAAAACGAGTTGTCAAAAATACGTTGATGCTCTAAATCTGTAATTCTCACAAAGTAAGCTTAACACCAAACATGCAGAAAGTAAAACAATTCAATTGTCTACTCAGAAATTATTTTTAATAAATGTTTTACCGAATAAATATCCAAAAATCTGATTTACCCGTAACCCACCATTTCCAATTGGTTAACATGGGTTCTGCCATTGTTTTTAAAGTTCCTCAACTTTGACATTAATTTTTGACCTATTGTAATAGAGAAATTAAATAGAAAATTTCCTGAAATATAGAGAATATAGTCAATGTACATATCCATTTTCAATTTCAGTTTTTCTTTCGTTTCGGGCTTAGAAAATTGAGTTTTAAGATACATGGGGATTAACATGTAAACCTATGAGGAAAAAAGACTGGTCCTTAACTTTTTTTGAGGAGTATAGTATTAGCAAAACACCACCACAAGTCGTTGTTGTTCTATCATACACAATCTGTTATCTAATGGATTCATTGTACTTTATGCAGGTCATCCATATTTGCTACATACACAACATCAGCAACATCCACCAGATAGTACACAGAACACATTTGTCGAAGGAAGTTCACCGAACTGACTTAGGTAAGGGAGCATACTGTATGTCTTAGAAGCACTATTCATCATTTCATATTTTCTTCAATTAATGTTTCTTTGTAATTGAAGTAACCAATCCAAGTTAATCTTATCTCTTTGTTCTTGAACAAATCGAAGATTTTCAAAAGGTATTTGCCCGCAATCCTTGTATTATCTCCCAGTTTAGACCAGTTGGCTATTCACCCATGTGCAATATATTCCCAAATATATATTATTTATATACATAACTAGCCAAGAAATTATTAATCATATGCCAATGCATGTTGATTAATAATCCCATCACCATGTATAATTTTATCCAGATAGGGATAATCGATTTTTACTTTGAAAATAGTCCCCTTAAAAAATTCTTGATGGGATCTATTGGTATTCACTTTTCAAATAGTCCCCATATAGAAATTTTCCTGGAACAAATCATAATTTGGTTTAGTATTTCCAAAATATGTCACATTGTTGTATTCATTATTCAATATTAATCATAGAGTGATGATTGATTTGTTTTTTTTAAGTGATTCTATCCAAGTTATTGTAAAGTTACAACATCGAAGAAATTCAATCTTATGGCTATATCTTTTATTTGTGTTTAGCAGGCTGGTTGTCAAAGTTCGCGTGCTGTTGAATATTAAGCAAATATTTCATTTTATGGAGGGCATTACCTGTTCATCTTTCAATGATTTTTGCAATATGTATTGCCCGCAGCCCGCAAGACGAGGGAAATACATGCTGCAAAAATCATTGAAAGTGCAACGGGTATTGGCCGAACATAGAATGAAATATTTGTTTTATTGTATCATTGCTAGACATTCTATACGATCGCTTTGCATTTCAAAGAAATATATAATATTTGTTTTAACCCGTGAACATTTATTATAATCAAGAAATATATCATAAACCCATCAGTTAACATAAGTACGTACATGTATCATTGGATACACTTATATTTTCGTCCAGCCCAGTTATGAATTCCCGGGCGGGCAATACGTCTTTTATTATCCACAAATTGAGGCTGCTGTGAAATACGCTAAGGTATTTTAGATCACATAGTACCGAATCAGCCAATCAAATCATACGATTTCTAGCAATGATATAATAATGATTCGAACATGACTGTATTCACGCCTACTATGAATAGTGAACAAAGTCAAAATTTCACCCGGGGTATATTCGGCAACATTACACCTGGTAATACGAGTAATGTGTGACATAACGGCGGGCCGTAGTAATGGCAGACCATTAAATGAATATTCGAAAAATTTTGGTGAGTTTTCATGTTCGAATCGTAATATAGACCGAAGAGCAGGTGTTATATCGACAAATGTTACATACCGCGACGCATTTGTATGGAAGTCAATGGGAAAGTTAGCAAGCTATATCCAGCGATATTTCCCGATTACCTATCCCCCGTACCTCGTTTCGATATTAGCTTTCTTTAATAACCATGACAATATCATGACGTCGTGTTCAATCAAATTCTACTCGCACACAGATGTGTGACGTCATTGATACAAAGTAGCCATGGGGATAAATGTGTGTAATACATCAGTTATGCCACTATGCTTTCGTTCTTGCCCAAATAAAAAGCCTTCCGAGGTCGGCCTATATCCATCCATATGCATCGGGAGAACTCAGGCATACATTTCACGTTATAGTGACACAAACTTTAAATATACCCCACAGGGCTAGGCGCAAACGTTTTCTGTACCCCGAACGACCGAAATGAGTGAGGGGTTCGAAGGCTTTTGTGCCTAGTCCTAAGGGGGTGTATTCGTCAATATAACACCTGCTCTTTGGTCTATATTTCTTAAACAGATTGAGTAGAACTTAAACGATTAGTTTGATTGCACACTCCTCATTATAGCTTATCAATTAAACATTTAACTCGAACTTGGCGAATGTTGTTTGGTATTAACTTGTATATTGATTTGAAACAGAACCATTCTTTTACCAGATTGTGTTGAACTGAACATATGATAAAACAAATATAATCTTTTTGCTTTAGATAATACACGAAGCTGATATATCTTGATTCGAATAGAACAATAGGATACGATCCGTCCCACTGAGACCACAACAACCAAAATCTATCTGGCATAACATGAACTATTGAGTTGGACATTTGTAGTGTATCATAACACGATACTTAACATATTCTCTGTCTTTATATAATTGAAACCCGCAGCAATATTTTAGTTCCAATCGTCTTGTGAGAAGTAGACCGCTTTGCCACTCTCGCTTCTTAAAGTTGGATAATATATCTCATTTAACACTCATCAAACGATTATTGTTCAAAATGGCACATGAAAGTTCGGCCGATGAGGCTTTTTTGAAACCAATACTAGTACAATCCAATATGGTACAGGGGGGAAACCCATCCATCTATCAAATACCACTCACTCACACGTATTCTAGTGCAGATGGACGTATAAGAAAATATGAATACGGAATCAGATCTAATGTACAAGAGAAAACGATTTTATTGGTAGGCGCAACCAGGTTCAGGGAAAACTACGTTTATCAATTCAATGGTAAACTACTTGTTTGGAGTTCAGTTTGAAAGTGATTCGCGTTTGAAACTTATACAGGAAGCTATGAATGCAAATCAAGCAGAAAGCCAAACCAAGACCATCACCTCTTACACAATTCACAAGGGTCTTGGTTCAAAAATACCATTCACGTTAACCATTATCGACACTCCGGGGTTTGGCGATACGGGTGGTTTTAAGAGGGACGAAGAAATAATGGGATTGATACGTACGTTCTTTACTTCCCATATTGGTATTGATCACATCGATGCCATCGGATTCGTATCACAGTCGTCTCTACCCAGACTCACACCGACCCAGAGATATATATTCGATAAGATTTTGTCACTTTTCGGGAAAGATATTGAACAAAATATTATGATGTTGCTAACGTTCGCAGATGAAAATGAACCTCAAGTACTAAGTGGAATAAAAGAAGCCAAATTCCACTACAGCCATGCGTTCAAATTCAATAACTCGGTTATTTACGAGAAGAAACAGACGGCAGACGACAAACTGAGTCGAAGAAAAGCAGCAGCCAATCTACTCGCTTATGAAATGGGAGAGGAGAATTTTCAGGAGTTCATCGAGGCTGTGATGACCTACCAAACTAGAAGTCTCACTCTTACTAAAGAGGTACTAATCGAAAGGAAGCACTTGGAAGATCGAATCATATTCATTCAAAAGGGAATACGAATCGGTGTTGGGAAAATAGATCAACTTAACAGAGAGATGTATGCGATTTTAAAAATACAAGGGGAAATAGAGCAGTACAAAGGATTCGAAATAAGGTCAACGATAGACGTGAATGAAAAGCACAGCAGAAATTACAATTCATACAGCTGCAATGAATGCGAGAAAACCTGTCAATCAGATACATATGCCTTCATCGAGGGCATTAAAACTCTTCTATCCAAACTTAATATTGTATCCGATGAGTGTAACATATGTGGTTGCAAAAGGTCGAAACACGAAGTTGATAAATATGAATGGGTTGTAGTAACAAAAGAAGTAGTCAAAACGCTCGAAGAAATAAAGAAAAAATACGACGAGGGTGTCGAGGGAAAAATTACGAAAGAAAGACTTATTGCTAAGATGGAAGCTGACGTTGAAGAGCTCAAGCGCAAAATAGTTCAATCGATAAATGATGTTCGAAGAATAAAAGCACGTCTTGAGCAAATCGCACTCAAGCCGAATCCATTGTCGTCGTCTGACTATATTGACTTGCTTATAGCAACCGAAAAGAGTACTGCAAGTCACGGTTATATTCAAAGGGTTGCCGAACTCGAGAAAATCAAAGTCCGTGCCGACTTATTACACAAAGTGACATCTACTAAAGATGTTCCCGATTTGATGACGAAAGACTAGAATTCAAACTAAAAGCAAAAGTAATAGCAAGTTGCTAATATAGCAGTTATTCAGAGCTCTAGAATATCACAATAGAAATGAATTTTTCGTATAGCTGCAAAAGACTATAATTTTACTTTAGAATAAAATCGCTGTGTTCTTTAATGCAAAATATGCATTTCAAGAGCGTAAAATGCATTTCATTAAGTGCACATAAGTCAAATGTAAAAAAATGCACAAAAATATTATGATGAAATAAACATATCCAATTACCGAGTTATTTTATATCGAAACATACAATACAGTACAACACAATACAATCCGTTACAATATAATACAATACAATACATTTGATAGCTTTACATACATATATTTTGAATAGAATATTTGAATAACATAGTCACCGACATAATCATGCATACACATTTTAGTGTTAGTTGTTAGAGAGTGGCATTGCATTTTATAGTTAGCTAAATATGAAATACATGTAGCTTATAATGTGACGTTGTTATATTCAGCCTAGATGTGAAAGGCGGGACAATTACTATAATACAATTCTTGTAGGATAGTATGAATGTAGAACTTGTAAATAAGTATAGGGTTTCAAACGTGTATGTAAACCACTGGCACCGTAAATCATATGCACATTTAAGTCTTTTAATTATCCTTGTCATACATGTGACCAAAAAAGAATGAGTATTATTTGAAAGAATATGGCGTCAGGTAAAATAACATTCAGCGGAGAGTGGAGAATATAATATTTTTGGAATTGACGTCTATTGACATTTGAGAATAGAATGACGAATATGTATAGATATTCACTATCCACGTCTGAGAATACATGTGTTTCCTATTATTAAGAAGGTATTAGTATACCGCACAATATTCAATGTTCTTTAGCTTTGGTGTGGACATACAACGAAAAAATTATTACATATAAAAACAATATGAAATATTATTTAATGTATTATATCACATTATTATAACAATACACTTTTTTCTAAAGCAATGGTTAAAATTCATGCATATACGGTATTTAGTCAACAAAGCATGACCTTTTCATCCTTCAGTGAAAATGAAACAGTTATTGCCGCGCCATGGAATAGAATAATTGTTTTAATATCATTGTATCCCTTATAATCAGAAGACGATACATGTATATCGAAAATTGAAGAAGGTTGAGGGGGTGTGAACGTGTGGTACATTGTGTAATACATCAACCTGCCAATCGATTACTGGGATTCTAACGTGTGGTACATTGTGTAATACACCAACCTGCCAATCGATTACTGGGATTTTAACGTGTGGTACATTGTGTAATACATCAACCTACCAATCGATTACTGGGATTTTAACGTGTGGTACATTGTGTAATACATCAACCTGCCAATCGATTACTGGGATTTTAACGTGTGGTACATTGTGTAATACATCAACCTGCCAATCGATTACTGGGATTTTAACGTGTGGTATATTGTGTAATACATCAACCTGCCAATCGATTACTGGGATTTTAGCGATGATATAATAAGGTTGAGTATCGCATAACATGAGTAAATTAAACTGCTTACTGATAATGTATGCTTACTGAAATCAATGTTTTTGTTTGTTTTGAAAAATTAGTAACATTAACCACTTATTGATAATATATGCTTATTGAAATCAATGTTTTTGTTTGTTTTGAAAAATTAGTAAAATAAACCACTAATTGATAATATAGGCTTACTGAAATCAATGTTTTTGTTTGTTTTGAAAAATTAGTAAAATTAACCACTTATTGATAATATATGCTTATTGAAATCAATGTTTTTGTTTGTTTTGAAAAATTAGTAAAATAAACCACTATTTGATAATATATTCTCGTATGCTTACTGAAATCAATGTTTCTTGTTTGTTTTGAAAAATTAGTAAAATAAACCACTAATTGATAATATATGCTTACTTAAATCAATGTTTTTTTGTTTGTTTGATTGTTCATTACATTTTGTGATGTGATATGTAATGTTATATCGGAACCAGGCGAGGACGTACCCTGCTTACATTATTGCAATTTGTATTTCTGATAAAAGTTGAAACAATTACCCAAATGCGAGTAGGTAGTTACCAGTTTCACCACCAGGTGGCTGATTCGGGTCAATTAACATGGCAGGTATATAAGAAAGTTCCCTTAAACTTGAATATTATCAATTTAAGTGGCTCAATTTTCATATAACCCTTATGTGTCTGATACTTATACTAATGAAAACATGTCCAGTAAAGCAAAATATTATCTGTCCACTAAAAGAAAAGATATTTCATTTTTTGTGATTTTATAGCATGGGGTCTATGGGGAATCTCCCCGAGCTAGAAGTCACATTTTCAAAGAAAATTAATTTTTCAAAGTTGATAAACACTTTTTAAAACCACATTTCTAGATGTAATTTTACATGTAGATTTCAAATATGATATTACTTTGACTTAATTTTGAATTTTTAATGACGTAAATCAAGATTATTTCTACTCGCATCTGGGTTATTGTGAGGGAATTGAGACTAAAAAGGAAGTTAAGAAGGACTGGTTCAAAATCAAGAAAATTGGAATTGGTATATTAAATTCTGGGAGAAACATGAATAAGTCCAATATTCTATTTCGTTGGGAAGATTAGCAAAGTATTTTTAACAAAAAATCAGTAAAGTATTGGTCCGAGTACTATAAATATTGAAAATCAAGTTTTAGCATGTGTGTGCTCAAGCCCGGGGCTCATTAGCTACCTTTTTAATACTGATCACAGAATAGCCTAGTATTCCCGATGCAACTGATCTTAGAATAATATTCCAATGCAGACAGATTTCCTTAGTCACCATTTTCTTGATGCTGAATCAGTTTTTTCTCCATCTTACATTGATGTCTAATGATACATGTATTTGTACTAACATCTGAACATACATTTTTCGTTTGGAAATAATTTCAGAATATACTAAAAACTGTATCCTATGTGTCTCTCCGATAGACTGAATTATATGTCAAGACCCGGCACTATTATTTAAGAAATGACCAACATCTGCAAAGTATTTCTTCAAATATCATCCATAATCTTTTCCTCAGAAACTCAAAAATATTTATTTATCTTATTTCAGAAACGATTGAAAAGTGATACCTGTATCTCCATCGAAAATATTTCTAAATTATATGCACTATTAAAAAGATATGAATTCGTTTTGACCCATTCTGAAAATCCTCTAAAAACTCTGACTGTTATGTGTCAATAATAATTTCATTGAGATTGTAAAGATATTCACTTTAGAAAAAACTCAAAATGGTACAATTTAAGACGTATCCTACTAGTTTTATAGTGAGGTCAATTTTTCTTCGCTTCAATAAAGAGTGGTCACAATATTCTAATTTTTAAACACAATATTTTGCATATAATAATTCATTTATATAATTCATTTTATGTGTATTTTAATAGTATCACATTAAAATCACTTTGAATTTCACTTATTCTGTCATATCAGCCCACATTTATCTCCAGTTACTGAAATTGAGAAAATATATAATCGGGGTCAAACAATTGTAATCATTATATTATATTTATCAAGTACAAGTACATTATATTACACTTCCCATGATAACTAAGGCGACCGGAAGTTCCAAAACCAAAAGTGCCAAAACAAGTTTTATGTTTGGGAATCATCAAAAATCATCAAGTTGGTCCTTTCTGAACAATTATGATTAAGGAAGAAAATTTAGGTTCAAACATTGTCAGGATTAAATAAAGTATTCAATTGAATTTCCCGGTTGCCAAATGTATTAAGAGGAGTGTAAATTATAGTGTATTAGACGTATAGTAGAGTACAATATAATGTCTTGTCGTATGATCTGTAAAATGAAGCCATCTGATTGGTCAGTTCCTGTGCTGTACCAATCTGTATTGCTATTGAGATTGTCCCCATCGATCATCTCTGGGGCAATACAAAAAAAATATTGGTACGGAGTGGACACTCTCAGTAGAAATACAGGGAATATAGAATATTTCCTATGGATTACTAGTATCTCCTATGTTAAATGTGTTGGCCTAAGATCACACGATAAAAAACGTTGAATGATTTGTAGTGCAATAAATAGGAACTATTTTGCTCTCGATGTTCGGTATTGGCAAATGACGTCGTCTCGTGCCAATTTCTCGAGCACCATATATCTTGTTTTGCACTTCAAATAATTCAATAATTATAATATCATTTTATAAATTCTGAAAACCAAACTTTATGCCTATCTTTATCAGGCTATTTTAAAGAAGAGATAAAACTTACTTGAAAAAAGGCTGTGATGCTTTAATAGTCGCCATTGGTCCAGCTGGAGCCCCACATCGACAGCGTCTGTACCCACAACGGCACACTTGTGCAGACCCCGTCAGCGCTCTTGTTAACAATGGAGCCTTCGTGTCCATCTTGTTGAGAATATTTTTAGTTTGTCTCCCCAAGGCATTCACTCCTGCATCATTTCTGCCTTTATTACGTTCCTCTGTAATATGCGAGGATGAATTACGAAGTGACAGGGTGTCAAAAAAACGGTAGTCTCTCTACAGCTGTCTTTGTGAATGAGTTACTGCGATTAATAAACGTTAATAGATTATTGAAACATCGTGCTAAAGCCACGGTTGATATTTTCCACTTCAGTTTATGGTTACTAACCACTTTCCAATTTTTTATGATATGACCTATTGCATTTTCAACAAGGCATTGATATGCAAAATGTCAGTGACTCACCAATTGCCATTTGCATTGTTTAAAATGCCTAACGCAAACGGCCGACTGCAATACACAAAAATGTTTGAGACTATGACAACATGTCATTACTGTACTAATCAACTTACCAACAGTAATTCTTGGCAATACATCCCGTGCTTCTGTTAATTAATTAACCTACCAGCAGTAATTCTCGGCAATTCAGCCCGTGATTCTGCTTATCAACTTACCATCAGTAATTCTTGGCAATTCAGCCCGTGCTTCTGTTAATTAATTAACCTTCCAGCAGTAATTTTTGGCAATACAGCTCGTGCTTCTGCTTATCAACTTACCAGCAGTAATTCTTGGCAATTCAGCCCGTGCTTCTGTTAATTAATTTACCTACCAGCAGTAATTCTCGGCAATACAGCTCGTGCTTCTGCTTATCAACTTACCAGCAGTAATTCTTGGCAATTCAGCCCGTGCTTCTGTTAATTAATTAACCTTCCAGCAGTAATTTTTGGCAATACAGCCCGTGCTTCAGTTAATTAATTAACCTACCAGCAGTAATTCTCGGCAATACAACTCGTGCTTCTGCTAATCAACTTACCAGCAGTAATTCTTGGGAACACAGCCCGTGCTTCTGTTAATTGATTAACCTACCAGCAGTAATTCTCAGCAATGTGCTTTTGTTAATTAATTAACCTACCAGCAGTAATTATCGACAATACAGCCCGTGATTCTGTTAATTAATTAACCTAACTGCAGTAATTCTTGGCAATACAGCCCGTGCTTCTGTTAAATAATTAATCTATCAGCAGTAATTCTCGGCAATACAGCTCGTGCTTCTGCTAATCAACTTACCAGAAGTAATTCGTAGCAGTACAGCTTGTGCTTCTGCTAATCAACTTACTAGCAGCAGTTTTCGGAAATACAACCCGTGCTTCTGTAAATTAATTAACCTACCAGCAGTAATTCTCGGCAATACAGCTCGTGCTTCTGCTAATCAACTTACCAGCAGTAATTCATGGCAATACAGCCTGTGCTCATGTTAATTAATTAATCTACCAGCAGTAATTCTCGGCAATTCAGCCCGTGCTTCTGCTTATCAACTTACCAGAAGTAATTCTCGACAATTCAGCCCGTGCTTCTGCTAATTATATAATCAACTTACCAGCAGTAATTCTCGGCAATACAGCTCGTGCTTCTGCTATATAAGCATTACGTCTTGCTGGCCATGTGGACCATCTGCAACCTTGGATTGTACAACCTAAGTCGATAATGGGAAGCCGTCTATGGCACTGCCTATCAGGTGAAGCCCCAGTGCATGCAGCCCAACTACCTGTAATATGGTGAAGTATATATTTTATCATAAGTCTATTTTAGAAGTGCACAAGTATACTTTAATCGTGTAGAAATATGCTTTAAAGAGTACCAAACTATGCTTTAGATAGCGTCAAAGTATGCTTTTGAGAGTTTGCAAGAATAGTCAGTGTAAATATATGCGTTAAAGAGTGGCGAAGTATATTGTATATTGTAAAGATACTCTAAAGTGTGCAGAAAAACGCGTTAGAGATTGTAAAAATATGCTTTCGAGAATCTGAATGTATACTTGAGATGTATTCTTGAAGGATACTTTTAAAGATTTATACATATTTAGTTTGGCACAAAAGATATATAGTGCAGTCAGAATGAGGGTTTAGGCGTGCGTTCAGAGGGATTTTATGGGACATCATTTTTCATGTTGCTAGTATGATTTTACATATTTGTATGGATTATTAGATCTTAGTTTTTCAGCTTTTAGATTTTGTGGCTATTTTACCCCCCATGGGCTATAATTTGGACCCCCACTATAAAATTGGACTGGAACTCCAAAAATACTCAGTGGAATGTATCCAAATTACTTGGATATATTGGTATGGGCTAACTAAATATATGATAAACATTTCATGTCACATGGTTAAGCGGTTGCCATGAAAACAGATAAAACATACCCTTTAGGTGTTGATTTTCAGGCCATTTTTCAGAAATGATAGAGTCATTTCATGCATATTTTGTCACCATTGTGTTAGGAAGGGTTCAAGTATGAATAGAAAACTTCTATAATACATTAGCAACAATCTTATATTAAGATTAGTCCACAGGATTTCAGATTTCGGCCTTATATGGGTCCATGATTTATACAGGGGTCTATTTCACAGACTCGAACCCCCACATTAGATGGATGCTATAACTTTTGAAATAATGGAGATACATGTCTCATTTTTTCAGATCTTCATAAATGGTTGGTTTTAAGTATTGTATTATACTTTGGGAGCTGGTATGTGATTGGTTGCCATGGTAACCAAGGTTTTATGGAAATTCGGACCCCACATTGGATGGATGCTATAACTTTTGAAATAAGGGATATACAGGTCTAATTTTTTCAGATCTTCATAAATGGTTGGTTTTAAGTATTGTATAATACTTTGGGAGCTGGTATGTGATTGGTTGCTATGGTAACCAAGGTTTTATGGAAATTCGGACCCCCACATTGGATGGATGCTATAACTTTTGAAATAAGGGATATACGTGTCTCATTTTTTCAGATCTTAGACAATGATTGATTTTAAGGATTGATTCAGACTTTGGGAGCTGGTATTTGATTGGTTACCATGGTAATCAGGGTTTTGTTAAAATTCAGACCTCCACAATTGATAAACGCTATACTTATACAGGCAAATACAAATATCATCTTTTCAGATATAAGATAATAATAAAATGTGTATATTGTATTAGACTTTGGAAGTTAGGATTTACTTGGTTGCCATGGTAACCATGTTTCATTTTCATGGTAACTGCCATTTTTGTTTTTAGATTCACCTTCATTCTAGATAGGTCAATACATGATATGAAATACCAAATTGCCATTTTATTCTTAATTTTGGGATATTTCTATTTTATATGATTTACATGCTCATTAATACTAGAGAGGCAAAATTGTTTGGCTCATAAAATATCAAATACTAGTAAACAATACATGTATATTTATATCTGACAATATTGCCTCATTCCATACTACTAGTTCTCACAAATATTCTGACTCCTAACTTGTTCATTTTTACTCATCATTACTGTTTTCATTTTGCACAATTACCTCTTGATTTAAATATCAACTGTTTCTGTTGAAATGAAGGTTTGTTTTGACCATTCTGGAGTTGAGGATCCTCGGGGGATTTAGTACATTCATGCAGTATTGGGCTTGGCAGAATGGGTTAAGACTGGTCCCTGGGGGTTCACTGTATATAAAATTTGGCTGGGGTCCTAGGCTGAACCCTCAGATATCAATATGTTCCCATACCAATCTGTCAAATTTGAATGTATTTCCATACCAACCAAAGTAATGCCCAAAAGTCATACCAAATGCCCTAATATAGGATCAATGCAATATCCAGATATAAAAACATGGCCATTCAAAATGTCTAATGCCCTAAGAAGAAGGCAGACCTTTGAGGAAAACAACCCAAAACAACTTCACATTATAAAGGATATATACTAGACCAATGCCATACCACAAGTGAGGGGTAACATATTTTCCAAGACCATTCTCATACCAGTAAGTGGAAAAATCGGACCATTGCCATACCTCAAGTCATAATTTGGAGGGCATTCTCATATCAGATCTTAAAAGGAGTAGAGTCACTATGGAGAGCTTTTTAGAAGGACACAACTATTTTATTCTGGAAGTGATCATAATGAAACTTTAACATACTTTTAGAAATGAGGTGAATTCAGAGATCCTAAGTATTATTCTCAAATTATTAAAACGTGGATTTGTTGAACGCTTTTTGTGAAGAGTTCATCATTGACTCCAAAGTAATTCATTGCATTACATTAGCTGCTATGTAGAATATCTTCCACCTTGTAATGATTGCTCACTTCAACATTTAGGATTTGTCATTCATCCTCTTCAAATTTCTATATTGTTTCCTATTATGAAGAAAACAACTTTAAGAACCTCAACTGATGTGAACTCTGTCCCATTAGATGTCAGAAGCTCAACCAAACCTCTGTAGCTGCAAACTTAGAACGAAGTACTGTGTGAAGCCATATTAGCCTTCAATGCGTTACGGATCTGAATGATGAGGGCAGTACTGTTTTGGAGAATATCTTATGTGAAACAGCTCATATCGTAATTTATTGATGTCAGTTACAAATGTATTCTTGTAATTCTGCTGTTCTTTTGCATGTGAACAATTCAACTTTGGATTTTATTGTTACTGGATCTGATCAAAAGTAAAATAAATCAACTGAAACTGAAGACAAGCAATTCTTGTTGTTTCCTTCAATAGTAAAGAATATAGGAATTCCTGATACCATAAAATCCAAAGTTGAATTGTTCACCTGCAAAAGTACTGCTTAATTACAAAAAAATAACTGCCACTAATAGATTACGAGATGAGTTGTTTCACATGAGATACTAGTATTCTCAAAAACAGAACAGTGCTGCCCTCACTTATGAAGGTGTTGACATTTCAACTCTTTCACATTTGAAGAGGGTGAATTATCAAACCTGTGTATGGAAACATTCCCACCAGCCTAAACCCAGCTCTACCAAACCAAACACTGCATGAATGAATTATGAATTCCCAGAGGAATCCTTAACACCCCAATGGTCAATAGAATCCTTCCTTGTTGAAATTGTTGATATTTTAAATTAAGAGACCATTGTGGAAGATGAAAACTATAATGATGAGTAAAAACAAGTTAGGAGTAGAATATGTGTGAGAACTAGTAGAATGGAATGAGGCAATACTGTCAGACATACATGTAAAAATGCTGAAATTAAGAGTAAAATGATAATTTTGAGCAATTTTGCGTTCTATGTTGTGTCTTGACTATTCTTAAATGAAGGTAAATTTGAAATCCAAAATGAAGTTTCCATGACAATGAAACATGGTTAGCATGGCAACCAAGTAAATTGTAACCTCCAAAGTCTGACACAAGACACAAGTCTAATTATCTTTTAAGTTCTGAAAAGCTGATATCTGTATCTGCTTGAATTCAAAAGTTATACCATTTATCAATTGTGGAGGTCTGAATTTCAATAAAACCCTAGTTACCATGGTAACCAATCAAAATTCAGCTCTCAAAGTCTGATTTAATACTTAAAATCAATTATTGTCTAAGATCTGAAAAAATGAGACATGTATCACCCTTATTTCAAAATTTATAGCATCCATCCAATGAGGGGGTCAGAATTTCCCTAAAACCCTGGTTATCATGGCAACCAATCATATACCAGCTCCCAAAGTATAATACAATACTTAAAACCAGCCTTTTATGAAGATCTGAAAAAATGAGACCTGTATCTCCCTTATTTCAAAAGTTATAGCATCCATCCAATGTGGGGGTTCGAATCTGTGAAATAGGCCCCTGTATAAATCATGGACCCATATAAGGCCAAAATCTGAGATTCTGTGGACTGATCTTTACATAAGATTGTTGCTAACATATTATAGATGTTTTCTATTTACACTTCAACCCTTCCTAACACACTGGTGACAAAATATGCACAAAATGACTCTATCATTCCTGAAAAATTGACCTGAAAATTGACACCCGAAGGGTATGTTTTATCCATTTCCATGGCAACTACTTAACCGTGTGACTTGAAATTTTTATCATAAATTCAATTAGCCCATACCAATATGCCATAGCAATTTGGATACATTCCACTGAGTATTTTTTGAGTTCTTGCCTAATTTTATAGTAGGGGTCCAAATTATAGCCCATGGGGGGTAAAATGGCCACAAAATCTAAAAGCTGAAAAACTAGGATCTGATAATTCATACAAATATGTGAAATCATACCAGCAACATGAAAAATTATGTCCCGTAAAATCCCTCTGAACGCACGCATTTAGGCTCATTCTGACTGCACTAATAGGGTAGCTCTGATGTAATATCATTAAACTAGATGGTAGGATAGAATTTGAACTATGGATACGCTATTCCAAATAAAAAATATTATGACATGAAAATGAACAAACAAACATCATAGAAATACATTGAAGAGCAGAATCAGCCATGAGATCGAAACCTGTTGTCTGTACCTGTTGTCTGTAGATTCCGAAGGTTGGCTATGTGTCCATTTAAACCAGTCTTCATGTCTTCAAGCCTGGCTTTATTCAAGGAAACCTGTAATAATATTCAACTGATGAGACTCAAAAGACCCAATACATTTGACAGTCGGAAGTTTCCATTGAATAGCAAATGATAAAATGTTATACAGGGAGATATGCCGAGTACTAAAATAGTGCTCATGGCATTTTAACGCTAATTGAGTACTCATTTCAGTAAATATTAGACTAAATGGGCACTTATGACATGAGTACTGTGTTATTGCATTTTAAGTACTAAATGAGAACTCATGAAATAGCGCTAATTTCATTGATTTTTCATTACTTAATGAGCACTCATACATATGCCTAGTACAAAAGTATTACTAAATTAGCACTCGTAACATGAGTGCTCATGAGTGCACTTTTGCAAGAGTGCTCATTTGGTACTAATTGAGTAATCGCCATATCTCCCTCCTATGAACATAGTGCCATTGAATATCCCATATCTCCCTGTGTACATAGTGCCATTGAATATAAATTTACCTTAATCGCCTTGTTCATTCCAGAAATCTTTGCTCGTGGGAACAGATAAGACATCGGCCTTAGCCTTCCAGCAAACAGCCAAGGGTTGGTGGCAATTGTTGGTACCCATTTTCTGTAGAATTGCGGGTCGAGTAGATTTCCTTGGCCACCGAAATACCTAAAACATACACATTAACACCATTACAATACTCAACGATTTTTTCAATGTTTCTTAAAAACTGCAATTATTTTCTATGGTCCATGCTCACAATCAACGTTTTTAACATTATTCTATTATATCGATACTAACACCATCTATAGAATTAAACCAATAAATACAAAAAGCGTTACTTAGACCTTTGTGTCGATGATGTACTCCTGGTAAATCTAGCGTCCACTCTAGACGCTGATTCTGAGTGCCCACCTAATATTCCAATCCAATTCTTGAACGTCAATTCAGCATTTCTCGAAGTCGCGCTTTCTCCTAATTGTGCAACGACTTCTTTTTGAGTCTCCATAGTCATTTTTAACAATCCTGTTAATAATACAAATGCAATAGACTAGATGCGAGTAGAAATGATCTTGATTTACGTCATTAAATATTCAAAATTCAGTCAAAGTGATGTCATATTTGAAATCTACATGTAAAAATTCATCTATAAATATGGTTTCGAAAATTGTTTATCAACTTTGAAAATTTAATCTGTTTTGAAAATGTTCTAGTTCGGGTTGATTCCCCATAGACCCTATATCAAAAAATCACAAAAAGTGAAATATCTTTTAAAACATTTATACATGTTTATAACATTTAAACGTATACCTAGAAGACAATAAAGACGTTTACGTACAAGTTCTCCTAAAAAGTACAGCGTACGTGCTTTTCTTAGTATCGTTTAACCCGATATTATACCTCAAAAATTATGTTTGGCAAAACCAACTTATCTCCCAAGGACCATAATAATGTATTCATTCTAGTTTGACCCCATATATACCTCCAAAATTTCCACTCTCATAATAGTGTGTGCCATAATAGTCGATGAATGCGTCCCAGGCATCAGGATTTGCTTCATATGTGTTTGGCAGAAACCTGCTGATGAATGTTTGTGCTCCACTGTTTAGCTATGAATTAAAAATAACAAAGTATGATATGATTAGTATTGATATTGGATTCTACTAATCCTGTAGTCATGATCACCTCGGATATATCCTACGAATATGGGGAAGGGTCGTTAGAAGAATAAGCAATATGTAATTGACGGTGCAAAGAAAAGACACACCTGGATCTATCCAGGGGGTTTGAAGTCCATTATGTAATTGACGGTGCAAAGAAAGGCCTAACTTGAAACTGTCCAAGGGGTTTAAAGTCCACCATGTAATTGATGGTACAAAGAAAGTACTCACCTGGATCTGTCCAAGGGGTTTAAAGTTCACCATGTAATTGATGGTACAAAGAAAGTACTCACCTGGATCTGTTCAAGGGGTTTAAAGTCCATTATGTAATTGATGTTGCAAAAAAGACACAAACGGATCTATCCAGGGGTTTTAAAGTCCACTATGTAATATTGATTGGGCCAAGAAAAAGACACACCTGGATCTGTCCAGGAGGTTTGACGTTCACTTTGTATTTGATGGTGCAGAGAAAAGAATCACCTGGATCTGTCAAGGGGGTTTAAAGTCCATTATGTAATATTGATTGTGCCAAAGAAAAGACACACCTTGATCTGTCTAGGGGGTTTGACGTTCACTTTGTATTTGATGGTGCAAAAAAAGACACAAACGGATCTATCCAGGGGGTTTAAAGTCCACTATGTAATATTGATTGGGCCAAGAAAAAGACACACCTGGATCTGTCCAGGAGGTTTGACGTTCACTTTGTATTTGATGGTGCAGAGAAAAGACTCACCTGGATCTGTCCAGGGGATTTGAAGTCCACTCTGAATGCGGACACAAAACTGGAGACATCCTCAACGAATCTTCTCTGGGATGATATAGCTTGGTAGAGGTTCTTGTAGGAATCACTAAAACTGAATTCACCTGTACCATCTGGCGTTGAATCACTGTCGTTGCCGAGTTCAATACCAGCCTAAACAAGAAGGATGCATTCAGTAAACAAAACATATTGTTAGTACCTCAGTTGAAATACTCGATTTTGATTGGTCAACGAGCGGTGAATAATTACGGTCTCGGTTTACAGTCTCGGGATATAATTTTGACAGTAAACCTCTGGAGAGGTCAATAATTGTATACTGTTGTATTTATTTTATAGTTGTAATGTTTTGAAATCTAAATTTTGCTTATTGGTTGAAAAGAGATGTATTTTGATATTGTTTCTTCGTGTTTAATTGTTCCTCTACTTGTATTGTAATTGTACCTTGTCTCCCCAATCCAGTTTTATGTCATCGTTGGATTTCCAGAGGTGTGATGTGAACTGCAGGATTCCTCCAGGCACTAGGGCGATTCTTGAGACCTGGTCAGGCAGATCATACAGGACCTGAATTGAAATTCGCAATACTCCTTAATATGTCATGTTTTCCGTTTTAAACAAAAAATCAATTTGATCACTTGTAGTTGATAGTTATTAATTGTCGTCATCCTTTTTGGACAGAGTCTATACAAACAAACACTATTGGTCGGGCTTAAACACGACCAGAATTTTTCTATTTTTGATTCAAATAACATTATCATAAATTGCGATAAAACGTTTAACACAATATTAGTAATTTAAAAAGGATGGGTCCAAAAACCTTGTTCAACTGGCAATGATTCAACAAACATCGATTATAATTTAAAACATACAGTATATGATATTACAGTCATTCCTCCCATTAAAAACCATTCACACATATAAATAATCACATAATTTTGAAGATTGCACTATTGCATGCTATAGTCTATCCCCTGGTACTTACACTTATATATACCTGTCATGTTAGACAAACGCTTCAAATCGTCCTACAAATTGACACATATCAGTGGTTTCAGTAACTTTGTGTACAAGGGGCAGATGAAAAATACAAGAGGCGGCATTCAAAATAACCAATTTTACTCTCCCGACAATGCAAATTCTTGTTATTTTAGAGTCCATGGACTAAAAGAAAGATGTCCAAGGTTTGTCAAAGTCATTTCCACGTGGTGTGGCAAGACATGGGCTCCAAAAAATAACACCTGGAACTGTGGAATGACTAGGGCAACTTATATAGAATGTCATTTACCTTTTATAAGATAACTTACCCTTACACAGGTTGCATTTCACAGATCCAAATGCACCTGTTGAATTGAACACTTTTGATATAAATCAAAATCTAGAATTGTCATTATAAAAATGAGAGTGATGTATTAATAGATGATTCACTTGTGATTATGTGTATATCAGATTCATTTTAGTTTTACCACCTCCAGACATTGCCAGAAGTGGTGACATACAGGGTGTTTCAAAAGTAACAGGACTGGTGCTGGTATTTTGTTAATTACATAATTTTTGTCGAAACTGATTTAGAAATTGGCCGATGACTACTTATCGGCCGGCGCCCGGCGCATATGTGGCCTAGGCATTAGAGAGAGACCGAGGTGGGAGATATCCCCCCCCTCTACACCAAACTTGTTCTCACTACGTTTTCGAAAATTGGCTGAAAGGCCTCCTCACACATTATTAAGGAAAACATATCTACACATTTTGCGCATTTAACCATTCGATAACATATTGTGGATCTTATCTTAATTTGTTAATGTGAATTCGCACCTTCATTTGCATGGAAGACTTTGATAAAATCCTTTTTTGATGATTTTTGTTAGAAAGCTGATGTTTGGCTAAGCTTCGAAATTCCAAATTGAACAGTCTACTAAGAATACCATGTTGTAAATATTGTTTTCTTTATAATATGTCGAGCTAGGACTGCTCAAACAAATTCGCTTTTTGTAGCTACAAGTATTTAATTTCAATAGATGATAAACTTCTCAATATAAGAAATTACCCTCATAAGACATTGTTGCAAGGTGTGTTGCAATGAATGTGGCACCCCGCATTTCCGGGCCCGCATTATGTATTCTCGAAGAAAGCCATCATGATAAACCATGACATCTCATTTCTTCTCAGCCCTGTGTTTCAGGTGAAACAGAAAGATGCCATGAGTATCAGAATGGAAGAAAGCATATATTTGCATTGATGGTGTATAGATAGTTATTTTATATAGTGTTTTAGTTGTACATTGGAAACCGATTCTAACCAGGAAGGATATTGCAACTTTTTTCAAGATCCTAAAGTTGCAATTCTCGTTATTGTGTTTCATTGTAAAGACGCACCTATGAAAGTGTGTCTCTGATACAAAGGCGTAGTTCTACATTAATTTAAGATACACGTTTTTTAAACTTGTACGTGAACATGTAGAATTATGGACCTGGTGGATTTTTTCTCCCTTTTGTACTGTTAATACTTGGTCGGTTGAGTATATAAAGGTATGCATGTCCCAGCTTTTGGTAAGTGGGGGTCAAACCTCCCCCCCCATCCACACATAAAATTTTTATCATGCTTAAGTTACTTCGCATTGTAATTACAAGGGTGTTATAAACGAGACACCAGGATGATAAAGTAGGTGTACAATATATTTCCGCGCAAAAGGAAGAAAATTAGGGCCCAAATCTTGAGAAAGAGTCGGAAGAATGCGAGGCGAATCCTGGAAACTCGGGTTCGGGAAAGCGGGGTTCACTGTTTGGTTCCGTTGACACCTGTACGAAACTACATTCATAATTTATCCGACAGTCGCTTTGATAATGTTTCTTTATCTCGTCTGCTACTCGATAAAGAAGAATTAACAAAGCTCATCAAGAATGGACGATCTTGCACAAGTACTCATATAAGAACCTCTATATCTTTTTAACACCAATATATAATGGACACACTATGTTAAAAATAAGATGTTATATCTAATGTGCCAATTCATTGATTTAGCATATTGAAAATATTTTCAACCTAAGTGACCACATCGTGACATCACTTAGGTGGCAACATTTTTCAATGTCAATCTTTTCTTAATATAATAAACTTAAAAAATAAAACAATTTTGACTGTTTTTAATATTATTTTATCATTGGTTTCTATGAGAATTAAAATTTTGAAATGCATCTTCTCTGAACCACTTTCATGCATGGATGAGTTCATTGCTCGCTCATCTATCAACCAATTTTCTTGATTTTGTCGGCAAAAAACAAGTGAGGATGATTGCTATGCATCGATGTGAATTATCGCTTTAAAAGATAAGTGTGACCTCTTAAAGTTAGTTTTAAATAAATTCACGATATTTTAAACAAAAAGTCCTTCAAAAACTTTTTTGAAATTAATAAAAAGTTTCACATTTCACGCTTTGATAACATTGGATAAGACAAAAATATAAGCCAAAGTGGTTTAAACTTTATATGGGGCCTTTAACTGATTAATAGTACAATAACGTCATTTCTAAGGGCAATATAGTGAAATATTGGACCAAGGGCCGAAGGGCCAAGCAAGCTCATGCACATGATAGTGGTTAGATAGTGATCTAAAATGCATAGCCCAAACGGGTACAAAATTGGACGGTGTTTACAACTATAATGAGATCAAGTGATCTTTACGATTATAGTGAGTTCCATTGCAGTTCGAAACTGAGGTACAAATCATAGACATGGAAGTGCAAAACAAGATCACTGAATGAAATAAAGGATAGTCTATAGAAGACTTTTATTTTCCCCCAAAACTATATTTGACTTCTAACAAACGGCGAATTATCGAAAACAAACGGCGATTTCGGACACTCGCCCCCTGCTATTGAAAGCCCAGCATATTCATTGAACTGTTGTTGATATTTACATTATTTTGTGGATTGCGCCATTTCTTCCCTTCATTGCATGTGTAGTCTAAGGCAACACGTTTAGTTCCATCGTTACTTCCGACGCCAAGTGGTACCTGATCTAAATACCCGACATCATATCTAAAATACGCCATAAGAGCTACTCAGTCATGGTGGGAGATTAAAGTCTTCTATTTAGGCCATTCCTTTTCTAGAAGACCATGAGATAGTTATGATTTACATGGGAAGACTTCGTTAGTAGCATTCTCGAATTCAGCTGCCGCGACTGGCGGCATGGCAGGTTCAATTTATAGTTAAATGAGTCGGCCATAAAAAAAGTAATCAAACCGTCAGCCGAAAGTTGAATTCGCGAATGCATAAATCGATTATATATCGTAATGGAGATTTTCCAAAACGATGGAAGCGATATCACTTGAATCAGAGTTTACAACTAATAATCAATTTATCAGAAGATATCAGATCAAGAAACATTCTCACTGCTTCTTTTGAAAATCACAAATATGAGATTTAATCAAATTAATCTAGTGCATAATATCAGAATAAATACACTAAAGGGTGAAATATATGGGTATGAAGTATGGAGGAATCGCATAGTCATATTTGAGCCATTGTATATGGTAGAAGGCCCTTTTTGAAATTGAGATCCCTGAAAATATAGGATGTTGACGTATGAGTTTATGGACTGTGAATCAATACAAAGTGTTATAAAAATACAAAAATAAAGTCTTCAAAGTTCTAGCAGAATACGAAATTTCTTACCTGAAAATATAGGATATTGACGAATGAGTTTATGGATTGTGAATGAAGTAAAAAGTAAAAAGGAAGAATGCGGGAAAAATTTGGAGGGAAAATTCCAGGGTTTTGATTGATTAAAAAAGTACGAAATTATGTTAAAAATAATTAACCAGTTTTATGCGGATAAATCTGCTAAAAAATAGATATCCTATATTTTTGTAGCAAGTAATGCAACCAAATGGTGTAAATCAGCAAGATTAACACATACAAGATATCAATGCCTGCTTTCATTCAATACACCTACCCGTGACGTAATTTCGGAAGTCCCGCTGGAGGATTAACACAAACCGCCATTGTCGTTGCAGCGCCATCTATTTCGTCCAGTAGTTTGGTCAGCGTTGCACGATCTGGCAGTGGTTCAACGCCAGATGCGGGTGCAACCGCAGCCAAAAGCAAGGCAACGATTTCAATATACATCTGAAAAAGATCGAGATAAATTTTATAAAAACATAGTCACAAAAATTACTACCGGATTCTCTCTTAGAAAGTCGGTTTATACGGTAAAACCGGCAAAGCCATGTACGTTTTGCCAAAACAATCCAGCGAGTTCAAAATCATGTGATAACATAAACTATTGAATATCATTCAAAAAACGTCAAGGGTTAGTTGTTGAAACTAAGAATTAGTATTCAAATCGTTTAAAACATTTCCTAAATATATGTAAAGATACAAATTCAGAAACTCTATGACACTATCTACAAATCATGCAATAAAACAGCGACATCAACAACATACCTCGATTAGACGTTATTGAGCAAGTTTGCTCATAACAGTCGCATACTATTTAATTTTATCAGCTACTCTTGACAAAATAACTTTTTTTGTAATTTATCATTTTGTAAGTGTTCAAGGCCTATGTCGTTTCTCAATACAAAACACTCCTGATAGTTCGAACTCAAATACTTGCGATGGAAATTGAGCAGTTGTTTCTCTAGTTCTGTAGACGACGAGTAATTTATCTTCAATGTTATGACATACAACTATATTTAGTTTTTTTCAATATAGTTGTTATCATAGGATTGGTTTGATATTTATTTATGTTGGTTCCATTTATGGGACAACATCGAATAGCGGAAGGTATGTATTTGTGTATTGTTGTGTATCTTCATGTATATTTCAAGAGTAGGCCTGCTACCTTTTATTAAATGCTTTAAATGTTTACCAAATTAATAATCCAGTTTTGTATCAACATCTTTCTTATTATCTGTCATAGTAATGTCATAATTGAATCTTTCATGAGCTAATCAAAGTAAAACACTACTAATAGTAGGCAAAACTTGCATACATTGCGTCGTCTTAATTGGTTATGCCCATCTATGTCACAAACAGATGTGGTGACATACACGTAATGTCATAGTCTCCATTTTTTTGTGGATGGCGATCTGCAGTTGGTGGTCAGTGTTCGGAGGTTGATGATCGGCGATGGTGACATTTTAAATGGTTGTGCGCTTAAATTATCTATGAACATTTCTAGAATGTGGTTGCTTCTCACGATAGCGTGTTTAGTATCCCAAGTTGGCGCATTGGAGCCACTACCAGATCGAGCAACACTCATCAAACGCCTGGACTGGATAGATAGCGTATCCACACAGGCCAGGGCTTGTCGTAGACTTCCACCTGGTATACCCAAATTGCATTTGGGTTACAATCTTGGCTACCTCGACCTACTGCCATTTGAAGCTGGACGGGATGTAGGGGAAAGACGAAACCTGGTAGACTTTACATGCAACGAAAACAAGACCTGGGTTAGCCCTTATAATGGGGTGTGTATTATTTTCAAATTATTAAGAATTTTGTCAAGGAGGATTGGAAGCCAGGGTTCCAACTCGATATTCTTTAATCTCCACGCATGCGTCATTTGCTATTCGTGTCTGTATAATTTGTACGACTGCATGGAGAATGACCCGATACTCTCCTACAAAGCTATCGCTAGGTGATTGTTTTGCAGAATATCGGTGTTGCATTCTGGGAGCCAATCCTCCTTGGAATTTTGTGCAAAATGGAATGATTCTCATTGTGTAGCTTACTGCAAGATATAAAAAAAACTTTAGTATACGTACTGGTGTTGCATGGGTTCTAATATTAATTTCAAAGCTTTTTCACTATTTTTAAAAATTAAAAAAAATTCCATTAAATAAAAGTTTATGAATCAACATTTATCCAGTTTTAAATTAGTGGAAGGTGGAAAGGTGGAATGCCCCTCGAACATGAGGTATGGCTACAGTACATTTGTTGTGTATGGTCTCTTTGGTCCCTCGGGAGATGCACGCATTTCCCTCGGGATAAACCCTCCTAGTTACCGTTATATTTGTTTTTTGAAATAACAATTATCAAAGAGAAATGAAGCGTAGAATATTACAGGGCTCAGTTCAATTCAAACGTCGTACATGATATGTTCGGTGATAGCTTGCACAGTGACATCATCACTTTTACATTGTATTAATACCCTCTATAAACTATTTGCAATAGCGTACCTATGATTTACCGGATCAATTGGCAACACTAACAACAGTTCCACGAGGAGCTCTGACGTACGATTCTTACTTATGGAAGTCCTATAACGAGCTGACACGTACATGGACTCGAACAGTAAGTTATTACAAGGCGGGCATTATACAGGTCTTGACCTTTATTGTATCACAAAAAGTTTATCTTTAGCAATTTTCATAAAGGATATTGGAAGGGAAAGGATTCAAGTCTCGAAAAACTGAAACGTGTAAGTGTTTGATACATGTTCACAGTAGTTCGCACATGGTTTCGAGCCTTAGAATCAAAATTCATTGTATGATTAAAGGCTAATATATTTGCACCTTATTGGGATAACAAAGTTATACCTGTAGAACTTGACTGTTCAATTTAATTTTCTTTCATTTATACCCGATTTTTTCAGATTGGCATTGAATTCCTTGGTGGGCTATTCGGCTTCAGCAGGACCAAGACACGATCTATTACTACAATCCACTACCAGAAGAGATTTATGGAGGACGTCACAAGCTTTGTATCGGGAACAAGAGCGGAGTTTCACCCACCATGGCTGATGCAGGTACAGTAATCGACTTTTAATGACATGTGATATTTTAATGTGATACTTAATGGTTCCAGTATGCCTGGAGGTTATCAAAGAGCGGGTGTGTGCGTTTCTTTGTACACGGGAAGCCTTTTGAGCCTGTGTTCTGTTTGAGTTGCTGTGCTCTTCTAAAGTTGTTTAGCTAACTGTGTTTTGCTATACTCTTTGCTGTCTCCACACTTGGCACTCTATTTCCAGCTAAGTGCTGCTGCACTTGACTATTACAATCGCTATCTCCCAAACACATACGCTGCGAACCCTGATGCTTATGACACTTTCTGTGACTTATTCGGAACTCACTTCTTCGAAGCTGGGCAATTTGGAGGTAATGACTACGTTAAGCTATATGGGCGCTGTCATCGTAATCATGGGGTCATGAGTTCGAAACGTATGCAAATCCTTAACAAAATTACTTCTAATTTTTACACATGTTAAATATTCTCGAGCTGTTTAACTTTTCAGCGACCATCTTGCTTTCTGGTGGCAATTTTTGAAGTTTTTAGATACATCTTGTCATCGCGATTGAAGGGAAACATAACGAAATTACTACAAATTTTTACACATGTTACATGGTAAGAAGTTCCAGAGTTGATTTACCTTTCCGCGGTCATTTGTTTTACTTTCTGATGGGAATTTTAGAGGTTTTTAGATAAATCTTGCCATCGCGATTCAAGGGAAACCACTTCCGGAATTACTTCTAATTGTTACATGGCCAGTACGAAATTCCAGAGCTGATTGACTTTTGGGCGGCCATTCTGCTTTCTATACATAGAGTCTAGTTATAAATTGAATAAGAAGCTCTATTTTGAGAATCGAAGTCGAACCAATGCAAAAGGGTCTTTCCGGATCAACAAGCCCACTCTACTATATTTCAGATACGATATTGTTCACCTTAGTCCCCGTTCGTTCATACATTTCGACTAGTTTCATTGAACATTTCCAGGGTTACTAAAGATGTTCATGGACACAGAAAAGGATATGGTGGCAACATTTGGTGACACGAAAACTAAGAGTTACGCCGAGGGTCTTTTCATGAACTGGCTGAAAGCATTGGGAGCCCATAACAGACCAAACCAGAACGTGGATCCAAACTTCATACATAGCACCCGTGAGTTCAAAAGGTTAGTTTAGTTCGCAATCATCCAAATATTTGTATGTATATTTTGGGCATGAAAATTTGTCCTAAATTATTCATTTTACTGCTATATTCTCCACCTTTCTGTGGACGGTGTTCGCCGATCGGCGTTCGGCAGTCGGCGTATTAAACAAATGACTGGTGGCCAGATTTTGCATGTTAACTGAGTCTAACGTAAAAGTATGTTAATCTGAGATGTCTTTGAGAAACGTTATTTCATCTAAAAACAACATTTTATCAGCAACTGGAATCTTATCTGTACGCTAATTTTTTCAAAGCACAGTAAAATAATGTCCAATCATGTCCAAATGTATGCATTTGTAGTTTCCATAGACGTACGTTTCGTCTATTTCAGGTTCTATGGTGGGAGTGGCAACCTTGCAGACCCCAATTTCTATGCTAAATGGACCCCTACCGTCCCCGGGAATCCAAAACTATTTGCCGGCAATGTGAAACCACTTACTTTGCTTCTCCCAGACAGAACAAAGATGGCTGCCATGGATCAGGCTATTCAGGTATTTTTCTTCCTGTACAATAAACGACATATTTTTGGCAAGCGAGGATTATATGACACTCTTCCATTTTAGAAAGATTGGTTGAGAAATGAACTTTATATCATAGATCAGGAGATATGTTTTTCACATGGCTCGAGGCAAATAACACATAATTCGCAATATTCATTGGTATAAATGCTTGGTTGAAATGTCATGAGGATATACTATGATATTTTTGGGGGAGTTGCCATTTTTCACTGAATCGGTTATAGCGAAAATGTAATGCACGGGAATAGTCAGTGTTTTACAGCATTTAAACAAGGTTTTTGAAGTTCAAATAAACATACGATTTATAGGTGGCCTTTAACAAAGGCAGATTGGACGAGATGAAGAGAACACTAAATTACTTCATCAGTACCCTTCAGAATCTTGAAGTTACCGGAAGTTGGTCTCTCTGCAACCAGAATACTATCACTAACTGTCACATAGCATCAAGCGGTACATCAAGGAGCTGCCTGATAGGCATTTGCCAGATCCCCACATTTGAGAGAGATTGCACGTTCAGCTGCCAGTATAAGGCGTGGCCAGAATTTAGAAGACGCTATATTGCAGAAGCTAGATCTTTGATTCCACGAATAGATGCACGTACGTTATGCATCGATTACTATATTGTTTATAACATCTTTATTTCCAGTAGCGGAGTATCAGTTTTACACATAAAAAATCAAATCTAAATACATAGAAAATACATAGAATAGAGAAGATCTGGGGGGGGGTGCCCCCCCCGCCTTGGGTGGGCCCAGAAAAAATTGGGCCCAAAAAAATTTTGGGGCCAAAAAGTGGGCCTTAAGGTTTCAAAAAGTAGGTCTTTTTGGTCATAACTGGGCCTTATAAGGCCTTATCTTTTAATTTCAGGCCAAATTTTGGAGAAAATGGGTCTCAAAATTCTCATCTCAAAAAGGGGCCCAAATTTTTTTAGAGTTATCTAGGATGCGAATCATTAGCCCTTAACCTTGAATATATTTTCAGAGATCCGAGGAAAAGCACGGAACAGCCCATTGGTTAATACCCTATATACGCAAACCGATGCGTTACTGCTCAAGATGGATACAGCGTCCAATGAAGTCAGACATTATTTGAGGAGAGGTAGCCGAGTATGCAGATGTCAAGAAGACCCAAATAATATATGTTCCTGCTATACAGGGGTCGGACATAATCGCATAGCTTCTTTAAAAGCTCCGCTGGTCTTTTTCAGGTTAGTATTTTTTTTATAAAAAGTGACCACAGTCAAGATAAATGAAAAAAATCAGTATGAAAACACGGTAAAAGTAATTCAACAGCTGCTTGGCGAAAAGTGTCATACACAGAGGCTGTCATCTCCATTTAAAATTGCATTCGTGCAAAATACCTACATAGTGTTCTGGGTACTTTTGCGCTCTTTGATAGGCAAAAGTTAAGACAAACACAACTAAGTAGGTTTGTTGTTGGCTATACAATATGATGACGTAATTTTATTATAAATTACATAATGTTACATAACAATACTTTTGCCGATAGGCGAAAAGTGTCATACACAGAGGCTGTCATCTCCATTTAAAATTGCACTCGTGCAAAATACCGTTATTTTCTAAAAGGGAATTTGAACAGCAGGTTAAATAATGTGTTAAGTGCTGGTTTAGAAAAATAAAAGGAGTTGTAACAGTTGGTTTTTATTGTCTTCTTACAGGGCTTTGTCTGCAGCAAATGGTTCATAAGCTGAACTCACATACCTGCATGAGGAAGACATATGCTGATTGAATATTTCGATTTGGATGTATGGAAATTAGAATTTATCATAAATTAACCATAGTAACTCTCACTGTTTGTCTTTTTCTTTTGTATACTCCAACTTTCACAGTGTTGTCACAATTTGGGATAACAAAGAGTGACATTACCAATCCTGCCATTACCTTTTCATATGAACTTGTTGATCTCTGCATAAAATGTCCTATTAATCCAGCAAAAAATATATACAAAAATATAAGATAAGTATTGGTTGCCATAGTAGAGAGGTTTCGCAAAACGAATTAGCTAAAACGTATCCGCATCCGTATCTCGTTACGTTTACGGATACGTATTTCGATAATTTTCGTTTCGCAGTTCGTTTTTTGAAGTACGTAATTATAAACGCATCTCAATCCGTATTTAATAGTAGTGAAAACTAGGGTCAAATAAAAGGCTTCATCTGCACTAAGATTTCAAAACACCATTGGGAGTGTCAGCTTTCAGAATCACAACTCCAAAAGTCTTTTTGGTGAGTGCAAAAATACATATTAGCCCTTTCATCCCCAAGGTGTCATTTGTTAATTTCATGACATCAATTTCAAAATGAAGAATATCCTTTAGGCCAGAAAAGGTTATTTCTAGGTTTACAATAACCAATTCAGTGTCAAATTATACTTTTGGGAATATTTAAGGGTTTGAAAACAGAATAGCTGAATAGTGGTCATTAACCTATTACAACCAAACACAACAACAGTACAATAGAACATAACCCAGTGTCAAAATACACAGAACGCAATAGAGCATAACCCAGCACCAAAGCCAGTATAGCGCAACCTGACTTAACCACCAAAACACAACCAACTGTCAGATTAACACAATATGTCACAACCCAATAATAAGACAACAAAGACAAACACAACCAATTGTTGAATTAACTCAACACAATTGTGCACAATTCAACACTAAACAATAAAAACACAATCAGGCACAACCAATAAAATACAACTAAACTAACAACCATGAAAACACATCGAACTGTGAAATTATCACCACACAATTTGGCACAACCCAATGGTAAATCAACAAAAGCAAAGACAGCCCATTGTTCAAGAACAGAACACAATTTTTCAAAACCCAAAACAAAACAATCAAAACAAAATCAGGCACAAACAAAAAACTCTTTAAAATTGTAATACCGAGATACACAACTAACTTAACCCAATTGGAGAGAACGCCAATCACAAAACGCAATCAGACACAACAATATACCTCAACCGACAAGCCACAACCAGCTAGCCAACCAACATAACATATTCACAAGAGAAAACAACCCATAATAAGATTAACATAACACAATGGGACACAACCCGATACTAAATCACCAGACTAACAACCATCAAAAGAGAACCGAGTCTCAAACGTACACAACACAATTCGGCAAAACCTATACCTACATGACACTAACCCACCATTACACACCCAGGCTTAAACAAATACTCAATCGATTTACTCAACCCATCAAAACACAATCAGGCACAACCAATAAACAACAACGAAACGTTGATACCGATTTACTCAACTAAGTTATTCCAACTGGAGACAATCGCACAAAACAATCAGGGACAATCCGATATCTACTGAATATGTACTTGAATACAACCCCCCCCTTCCCTATCATCACAAGGCTGCTAATGAAGAACACATCATGGACCATGAAGTTCATCCCGATAAGTGTTCGTTTCTCGTCTTTAATAGTAAAATCGAGCTAGGTGCAACTCAAAAACTTAATATCGGAGGTAAATCAATTGCAAAATCTGACTATGTGAAGCATGTTGGAATCCCAATTTCAACAAATAATGATATTTCTGATTATGTACAGGATAAATGTAAGAAGGGCAAATCGCAGTACAATGCTCTGCTCGGTATAGGTAGTGGCTGCGGAGGCCTAATTCCAACATCTGCATGTCAAATATACAAAACATATTCCATACCTACAATGACATACGGTGCCCATATTATCAACTATCAACAGAATGATATAGTTGTTCTAGAAAAGACACAACGAGAAATAGGACGGAGAATTCAATCTCTGCCTCACTCAGCTAGTATTCCCATCTCAACTTTGCCCCTGGGCCTAATGGACGTTGAATTTTATATTGACTTTTTAAGAATGATGTTTCTCTGGAGTTTATTGCAACTCCCGAGCGCAAATATATATAAATGTCTTTTCACAATGAGATTTGTAAAAATGCTGCATATTAACAATGAATGTAATACCTTCTCTCCAATAAAATGCATGTTACTGACATCAAAAAGGTATGATTTACATAACCATGTTCTAAATATGGTAGACTGTAAAATGTTCATCCCCAAAAATAGGTGGAAGAATATTGTGTATAGAAAAATTGCAGCCGTTCAGATGCAAAGGACATTTTTCCAATCGCTAATGTACAAAGGCCTAAACTATTTTAGAATGGGTAACTTTGAAATTCTGAGGCCATTAATATGGTGGAGAGTCGCAAGACTGTTCCCTTTTGCTTTAAGTAGTTGTAAAATAATGGTGAAACTGCTAGCAGATGAACATGCGCTTAGATCAAAATATAGAGGTTCCGAAGATAAATCAGTTATATGCTCAATGTGCAGCACTTATGAAAAAGAAGACGTGGAGCATTTCTTACTTAAATGCCCAGCAAATATATATATTATATTTAGAGAACAACTTAGTAATCATTGCTGCGAATGGGGTATCCAAATGAACACTAAAAACATTCTTGGCATAGGAATTGAAGAGTTGCACTTTACAAACGAACAACTACTTGTATTTTTAAAAGATATGGCACATATAGTTATGCAACAATATTTGTGTCGTCAACGGTACTTGACAAGTTTACAAACTTAATGTAACTTTATCAGCGTGAAAGGGTGGCCCTCAAGGGAGGAACATGGGCCGACCAGGGATTTCCCTTAATTAACGGTAATATGCAATATGTATTTATTCTGAGTGTACCGACCTTGGGGAAGGTACAATAATAAGCAATGCTTCATGTTGTTTTTTTCTGTTTTTTTTTCCTTGATTGGTAGTTGCAACGTCAACGCGGCAGCCTGACGTATTTGCAACAAACGATTATATCTCTTAAGCAGCCTATACATTTTAGTTTTAAACGCATATTTGTATTTATATTTATGTACATTTACTATACACACTAATTTAGAATTGCACCATAGGGCAACACCACCTTTCTTCAATTTACAAAAAATTGTATATTTCTTTTACTAGCTTACAAGATATTGAAAGCATCTCATATTTTCATACTGTACTGCAGTACCGACCTTGGGGAAGGTACGATGATACGCTATGTCTTCCTTTTAATTTTTATAGAAAACGCAGATCCATAATGTCATTTTTTATTAATCTTAAGAGTGTTAGGTAACAGGTCTATCTAGGCCTACGGCGTGCGTCTACGCGGTAGCTAGGCGTCGTCGTCAGTACAAAAAGCAACAACAAAACAATGAATGTTTGTAAAATATAGTCATTTTTTATAATTGCGTTACAATTAGGTGCTAGGCCAATCTTGGTCGGCGGCGTGCGTCTACGCGGTAGCTAGGCGTCGTCGTCAGTCAAAACAACAGCAATATTGTTTGTTTGTAAATAGTGATTATTTTCAATTTAACATTTACATAATTTGTATACATGTATCTCCTTTATATAAAGGGCAATAAATATATACATACATACACATACACTACCCAAGAGTTAGGAACATCTGGGGCCCCTACCGTGACTCATATGTAAGAGAGAAGATCCGTTACAGGATCTGGATGTCAGGCCTGTCTTTACAAAAATGAAAATAGGAAATGATACGCCAATATCATCATCCTAGGATCAAAGAAATATACTCTACCTGTTACATAATCACTGACGGTGGTTCCGGGAAGCTTGGGCACTAAGCTTTAGTCTCCCTGGACCCCCAAACGAGGCCGCTTACTATTTGACATAGATCGCATCGACTTGATGCGTGTTCAAGTCATACCACGGGAAGAAGCTACCTGGCTAGACATTTTTTCAAAATCATTCAGTTTTGCATCATACTGAGCACTTTTCGGGAGTTTTAAGCCAAAAAGCTCCCCCTTGCCACAAGCTGGATACGGGCAAGAGTGATGCGGGGCGCCATCTTTAGACCCAATATCACATTCATTGTCGAGGTCAGGACCAAGCTACTATATTCAAACTAAGCCCAAGTCCCTGCTCTATATGAATTCGGAGCGTGACTTTAGGCACAAAATATATGTTCAGGTGGCCTAGCTGCTAACCATGGCCATTGGTTTGATGTCCCTAAGAAATTGACTACGGTATTACTATTGACCCCAGAAACGATAGACCTTACATCTGCCTATAAGCAAATGTGACTAAAGCTTTATTCGTACATATTGCAGTACAGGCCCCTCGCTTATAATCAAATTTATCGGCAGATAAGGCTATTACTTCATCAAAATTAGCAAGATACACATGATAACATATGTGGGTTACTAAAATTATACATTTAGGGAAAAATTTATCAAGATTTGAAGGACAAAATAGATACGGAGACAACTACGCACAGAAAGTGTTAGTTTACGTACTTTCGGTATTGCTGTTGGTATCACAAACGTATTGAGTAAACTTTTACTCCATCGATGCGTTACGGATTTTGATACGGGTAGCTAAAACGTTGTGCGAAACATGTACACTGTAATTATTGCAATACCATTCCATACAGTGTAAAATGAATTGAACATACCATTTGAAAAACTCGATTTATTTCAAACAATAAACAAATTCATTCACCAAATTTTAGTCAAATTATACACAGCACACTGTGCTTGTTCATATAGTGATACCTTTAGAACTAAAAACAATATAATCGAAGGGTAAAATCGGATACGTAAATGACCAACGTACAAAAGCCTCATTTTTCGTGTTTTCCGTACCATTTCACGTATAAATTGAACTGACAACGCATAAATCTGGTAAATACGTTCGGATACGG